TTACTTATATTTATTTCACAAACATTTAAAAATAAAATTATTTAATGAGTAATAATAATTTTACTTATAAATATGTCTTAATCATATATTTTTAACCCACAAAATAATAATGATGTATAAAGTACTACTTGAAACAAACTCTTTTTTTTTATTTTTTATTTTTTTATTATTATTCTTAAATTGTATGGAAAGATTTGAAAAATATTTCAACTTAATGAACTAACCATCAATACCCACATAAAATGTTTCTACACATTGTGATTCTAATATCAAATGTTTATAAAAAGATTTTGTTATTATTATTATTATTATTTTTTGAAAGAATTGTTATAATTATTAGAAATTATTAATTAATAATACTATTAAATATTAATTCTTAATAGTTTGAATTATTAATAATATTATTAATAATTAATATAATTAATTATTATTATAATTAATAAATAATTATTAAAATTATTTTTAATATTAATAAGTATTATACATATTCAAAATAATAAGTTATTATCATCAATATAATATTAATTATTATTTGAAAGGAGAACATATTTTTTTGAGCAAAGCAGAGCAGAGTAGATCTAAAGAACGGGGCCGTGATGGAAAAACTAAAGTATGGAGTATTGGTTTTTTTTTTTTTTTTTTTTTTTTTTTTTTTTTTTTTTTTGTGTGAAAATTACAGTGGATGTGCTTCTCTCGATCCTGAACCTCAACTCAATGTCCAATCCTCTCATCTTTTCCCTTAACACCTCCTCCATGTCTGCCTTTCTCAAACCCTAATTCCCCTTCTCTCTCTTCCGCAACTCATCTCATCTTCAATTATCATCGGCTTAACCTATTTCCATTCGATTTCTTTGTAAGTTCTTCCTCGTAAATCTTTTAATTATTGTTTTATTTTGTGATTTATTATTTCTGGGTATTCTATAATTTTGTAATTAGGTTTTTGAATTTCAATTTTTGTACAGAAAATATCGAAATTTTGGTGTGAAATGCTACACTGTGGAATGTTTTAGAATTGGTGGCAATGGCGGCTGATCAACGGAAAAGACGATTGAGTTCTACTAATACTGCGTTTGGTTATGGGGTTCAGGAACAGTATAATAGGGCAAAAAAGAGGGATTTGAGATCGCCTAAATATGATTTTAATTTTAACACTCATGTATCCCTTAAATGGGATGATAATGGGAAGAGGGTTGTTGCCAAAGAGGATCAAATTGGGATTTCTTGGAGGCATTTGAGCCCTTTTAATCCTTCTGCGCCTTGTAGTAATACTAAGTTGGCCGATGTCGTCGTCGTTCCGAAGGATGTGTTTGAGTTGAATGATTTGGCTGAAGTTCTATCTTATGAGGTGATTGTTGTTACTAATTGTTAAAAGTTGTCTTTTCGGGCTGTTTGTTTAGGCAGATTGGGATTACTAGGATCTGTAAGGGAAATTTCCTTTTCAGATTAGTAATGATTGTTATTTTATAGGTTGTTCTTTGTGGTTTTCGGTGTGTGTTGATTATGTTGTCGAAATTGCAGGTTTGGCAATCTGTTTTAACAGAAAAAGAGAGAAATGTCCTTATGCAATTTCTTCCTCCCGGAGTTGAAGCTGATAAAGTTGTGCAATCTTTGCTTTCCGGTGACAACTTCTGTTTTGGGAACCCTTTAAAAAAATGGTGAGATTATGGTTGTTGCTTGCTTGCTTGCTTGTTGTTGCTGTTCTTGCCTTGCACAATTAGCTATCATTGATCACCTTGTGTCTTGTTGGAGCCTATTTGAGTTCATCTTTTAGGACATTGAAAGATAAATTTAGATGAATGTGCTAGGAAAGAAATTCCGATTGAAAAGAGGGTTGTTTGGTTAATCAATAGGGAAAGGAAGGGAATTGATAGAGAGAAATTGAAAGGAAAGAAACAAAGCTCCAAAGTTCTTGATTTGTTTGGGCACATACAAACATTTTCCAACCCGTGTCTTCTTCTACCTTGAAACTTCTCACCATTGCATCTCCTCCTTGAGCACACCGCATGCCATTGATCATGACCATGTCCCAAGCTTCCCAAACATCACAGGAACAATTTAGCTGGCATGAGGATATTCCAAGAACCTTGAGCTCCAACCGACAATTACAAGCATAATGTCGGATTTGTAGATCCAAAACCTCAAAGTTGCTCGCCTTTGTTACGGCCAAGTTTCCATATTTTCTATTTTGGTGGCGGTTGGTTGTGGTCATGAGCAAGGTGGTGACTTGATGAGTTTTGGAGCTAATAGATACAATATTTTTGAGCTGTGAGAGAGGTAGGAACTGGTAGAGGTTGGTGGTCTTGGTGTGATGAGATTGAGGTGGGGGCCACTAAGTTGGCAGTGGCAAGCCGACGGTAGTGAGCTGCGATGTTGTGCAGACATAATCAAGTTTTAAGTAATCCAAGTCACAAAGGGGGGCAGGAATTCCTGAAATGGGCAAAATTATAAGGGGAAAGGAAAATTGAACAAAAGACTCAGCTTATAAAAAGGCGTGCTTAGGTGCTGGGCGATTAGGGTAGAGTGCCTTTTTTGCTCTAGGCGAGGCGCATTCAAAGAGACGCACTTAAGGCGCACATAGGCAAAATTTCTTTAATTGTTTTATATTGTACGCCTTATGACGATTCATGTTAGTCGACCCCAAATCATTTTGAGATTAAGGCTTTATTGTTGTTGAGGCGCTGCAGGACCTTCATCGCCTCATTGCGCCTTGAGCCTTTTTATACATTGAAAAGACTAACCAGACTAACTAGGCTTCCACTAAAAGTAATTGCTTTTGTGTTTCAATCTATAACAAGTGAGCTCTTTATGTGAGGTTTTTCAGGAATAGGTTGCCTTTCATTGTCGGACTATTTCTTGTTTGAAATAGTTTACATGCGGTCTTCAGTGGACTGCTTTTTCTGATTGTCTTGGCTTCATGGGTCAAAACTATGTAGGACTTTCCTAAGCCCTTATGTGCTTCCATATTGGGGTGTTGCTATTGTTGAGTTTTTTTTTTTTTTTTTTTGTTATTATTGTTAATACTTCACATTATTATTTGGCTATAGAGGAATTTATGCAATTTAATTTATGCAGGGGTACCTCACTTTGCTCTGGTGATCTTCACCCTGATACAATTCTTCAACATGAGAAGTCCTTTAAGACTAATAAAAAAGCATATTATTCCGAGCTGCAACAATATCATGACAAGTATTTCCCTAATATACTTTCTTGTTTTCTTTCTCTTCAAAAGTTTTGCATGTTAGTGATTGTGATTTATAGATTGTTTTCCAATTTATGGCAGCATGATAAGGAATTTGCAACACATGAAGCAGAGATGTGCAAGCTCAAAGGATCCTGAAGCTGAAATTCAACAGATAATCTCTAGGTTGGTTGTTCTATCTGTTTGGGCTATCAAAGCAGTCTTGACTCTCCTGTAGCCCAAAAATAATGTATTCTAAGAGGTTTTACTGGTTTCAATTTTGATTTGGGAGATCTGATTGCTAATTACCCTTATTTTTTTCCATTAATAATGTGAAGATAGTTACTTTCTAGGGGTTACCGTATGCTATTTTACTTAGACATTGTGTTTCGTGGTGGATCTTTGACACTTTAACATGGATATGGATGCCAGACATTTCATTTTGGTCTAAAATCTGTGATAAATTTCATAAAATAATGAATTTCGATTCTTGGACTTGTATCTATGTTTGACATTAGTATAGGAGCCTGAATAAATAGGTGGTAAGGCTGTGCTATGATCATGTGTTGCCCATATCTTTTATGATTGTGAGCCATTTGACTATTCTAGAGATATTAGGTTGAAAGTTTGGTGTTTTTGGGGTTTATAATTGATATTTCACTCTGTATCGTTCTCTTATCATATGACCGACCCTAAGGGAATTATATTTGAATCCCTCTTTGGATCCTTTATTCATTGCTGATATGTCTAGTCTCTAATGGGCTGGATGGGTGATGGATTATGCATTCTTTTGCCTAGGTTACATAATGCTCATGTGCCCTGCCTTCGTCTAGTATCTTTTTTTTTTTTTTTTTTTTTTTTTTTTTTTTTTTTTTTTTTAATAATATTTGAGTTAATAGAACAGGGTTTATTATACAGTGATCTATTGGTCTAGGTGCTTGATAAGTTTACAATGAATTAGTAGGTTAGACTGTTAGATACAACATATATTCAGAAGAAGATTGTTTAGTATATCATTGATGGTGTTCAAGGACATTTTCCTAGGGTGTGAAATGGATCTAGTTTACCCAAGATAATGGCTTATGATGGAAGTATTCTCTTAGGTATCCCTTGTGACTAGGGCCATTATACATGATGCTTTAAATTCCATGAAACATTAGCTGCCATAGCATCATTTGTTTCTCTTTTCTTGAAATATATTGTCTATTGTGCTTGAGTGGGCTGAGACTGGGTTTGTCCAGCTAAGTTTGGATGTTTTTTTAGTCAAAAGTTTGCTGATTTGGTTGGAAATTGAGCAAAAAGTTATATTGGAGCTGCGTGATGTTTGATGTTTTGTTTAGAGCTCAGCTGTCTGCTAATTTGATATGGAGTAGATTGGGTTTTGTTGATATTTTCATCCTTTTCCAGTTTCATACTGCCTGAATTGTTGGATTTATAGTCAGTTTGTTGAAATTCTGTGGAGACAACCGGTCATTCTTGTGCATCATCCTTTGTTATAACTGCCCTGGAATCTTGTGGGATGTGATCCTATGAGGTGAAAGTTGTGTCAATAAATCATGGAGAATGAGTTAATGTGGTAAAATAGATGTATTTGTTTAGAGATCTGTAGTTAAGGGCCTGGAACCATTCTTGATATTTCGAAACTATGGAAAGAGTCAATGTGGCGAGTGATTTCTGTTATCAGTGGTTAAATTGGCTAATTTGGTTCATGAATTTTGATTTGTGAGTTTTTTTTTTTTAAAATCCCGTGATTTTTTTTTTCCTGAATGTTTTTTATGCATTTATACTTCTCTGTGGCTCTTAGATACTAGCTTGTTGTATGTGCTAAAGTTGTGCAATCTGCTTATTTGTTGCGATTGAATATTGAAATTTTTCTTAGAAGTTGTGTTATCATACTATGTTCTGCTATGAGTTCTTGTTAGGAACTTGTTTTAAAATGTGCGATTAATACATATGCACAAATTAACTTGACAGGCTTTTGCGAGTTATCATTTGATGTGCTATATTGTATCCAAGCTGACTTGTCTAAATTTTATCTGAAATTTAAAGATTATGATAATGATAACTGTTAATATTATCATTGTTTGATGTTATTATTGATTTTGTAATCAGTGCTTGATGAAAACACTGCTAAGTACCACCACTACTGTTACTACTCACAAATATATTAGCAAAGAAAATTAGTATAAAAATATGTTTATTGGATTTGTTAAAAGTATCAGACTTGAATGTGGTGTTTGACATGGATATGTCTAGCTTTTTACGGGAAGGATTTGAGCAACATAACTTGTACCAGTAGTTTTAGCATATCTTATTATGTTAGTGCAAAATGTTTTTACTACTACTACCTCCTATTCTCTGCTGATAAAGAAAGGAGGGAGTGGTGAGTGAGTCCCTTTTTTATTTTCACATTTTGGTCAGGATAGAGTTTTTTCATGTGAGTTAGAGCAAAAGTAGGAAATCAATGTGGAGAAATGTATCATAGGAAGATCATTGGAGAGCAGAGAGAGTAAAAATGAACAATCGAATGTATCAGCTTACATACATCATATCTTATTGAACGTCAAATTTCTATTTCTGTAAATCCATAACAATTACAATAGTAATCTTTATTGTAACAGTAATGAAACAGTAACAATGTAATGACCCCCCCCCCCCCCCCCCAAAAAAAAATGGAAAAAAAAGCAGCAACAATGGGATCAATGTTGATACATGAACCTGTGATTTTTGTAAGGCAATCTGATATGAACTTTGATGTTATCTCATCTGATCTGATCTATATTTATTTGGTTTGCTCTGAAAAAAGTATCAAGGACTTGAAATAAGCTGAACTGAACAAACTGTTATTCCTCCTTGGACAATACAGAACCATATGTGCAGCTTATGAAGAATAAGAATCATCTTATGTGAATTAATGAACTCATTTTATTTCCCCTAGACTCCTATTATGTTGCTGGTTGGTCTGAGTATATGTATTTTTGTTTCCTGAACAGACCACGAAGGTATGAGCAGGGCATTCTGTCTGATGTGAACGGACACAAATTTCACAAAGCTGATGAGAACGTTGCTGCTATGTCTGAATCTCGGTCTTCAATTGCAGATGAGAAAATATATTATAGTGACAATCAAAAGTTGTCTGTCATTAGAGATGCTGAAATGCAGAAGAGGTAAGCTTATAGTTCTGCTTTATCATCAGTTTGCTTCCCATTATCTTCTGTACTGAATTAGACTATAGTTAATGTCATGCTACTTGCTATTTGCTTTCATTTTTGACCTTATATATAATTAAGAATCATTTTTCAACACTGAACCACAACACTTCAAACCCCCATACCTCAATTCTCATGCACTGTTTTTTTTCATAACTTACAAATAAGGAAAATAACTCCTGCAACTCCAAAATTCCAAATAATTAACTAAAAAAAAAAAAAAAACCATAACTTCCTTTCAAAAAAGAAAAAAAAAAATAAATCTATAACTTCCACTTATACTACCTTTTTTCCTAAACATACATATATCCCATGCATTAGCATTGGTGTATTCTAGTTTTTATATGTTTAACAGCTGTTCAATGCTTTCTTTTTTATATTCTCCCAACTATCTTTTAACTTATAACTAACTTTAATCTCTAAGTACCCTTTCACATCTAAAGAGTCACCCCTTGACAGTCTGTTATGTGTATGCTTCTACATAAGTTTTCAATTTTTATCTCTTTACAAATTCCATGAAGTCCTGGTATACCTAAAGTAATATCTCGAGTCTTGACAAAGACTCTCATTCCAAGCCTATGCATAATATATCAGTCAAGGGTGATTTGGTTATCTGAATAAGGTCCCTGATTGCCCACTTGGAGTTTTATATTCTATTACAATTGAATTATTTTTTGTTTTTTTGTTTTTTTTTTCCCACTCATCTGTGTAAGAAGCTCATCATTGACTCATTAAGCATCTTTGCAATATAAGATGCTGGCACTATAAGACTAGAGTTAGAGGGGTGCAATGTGAAAGATATCTTTTCCAAAAATACTCATACTATACTATATATGAACCATTTCTTCACCTCTTGATTTAAATAGGGAGACCTGAATGTGGAAATTTGTAGTTCTAAATTCTGTTAGGGGTAAACAATATGCATGGTGGATAGTGGTTGTTGATCATGCTGGTGGGATTGGTTGAGGCTAGTGCATGACAGTTATATTAGTTAATTATGAAAGTATGCACTATGCAGTAAGCCAGAAGGTAGTGAAGAGCAATAAGTAGAGCTATACCATACCCCCCTCTGTTCTGTATAGCTTGTGTGGTTTAGCAGTCTATAGGCCCCACACTTTAAATTCAATAAAAATACGAGAATCTAACTTGATTCAGCGTGTTTATCTGGAGAAATCCACTCATTACATAGTTGAAATTCACAAATATTGAAGGGCATAGCATTAAAAGGAGAACAAACTATTTGGAACTATGTTAAAACTTAAAAGGATTTATTAGTGAATGGTTGGATCGACTTAGAAAAATGCTTTGGGTATGTGAAAACCTTGAGAAATTCGTGAGGCTCATATAATCTCCAGTATACTTCATTCCCTTAATACTGCAACAAGGGGTGTAGGCACGATTTTTAAGATGATGAGAGAGATAGAGAAAACTATTATAAACCCATGTGATGAGGAGAGAGGTAAAGAAAAAACATATGCAAAGAAGGAAATGTTGCAATTTTTGTGAAATATCCTAAAATAGTATTTGTTGCTTTATTAAGGGAATGGAGGAAGTATAAGCCGGAGGGGGGGGGGGCGGTGGTGTTCCCTAAAATTACTTGAATATCCTCATTTAATTTTCATTGAACACTTTAGGGTTAGTGCATTTTAGATTTAATGATCTCATAAATTATTGTTTAAAAATTAAATTAGGAGAAAAAAAATCATTGACCTAAATTTGTCAATCAATCAACGTTTAAATATTGATCTATCATCTTAGTAAATAATAATACTAGCTATGAGTTATAATTTAAGTAAATAATAATTTTGCTTATTTTGGATAAAGGGTTCTAATGGTTTTGCATATTTTCTTTTAGTCTCTGTTGGGGTCAGTTCATTTCTTTTTAAAAATATTTACAGATGCTGAAATGTTCCTGTTGCAATTTTTTTATCTACCCTTGCATCATTACACCTAATTTCGCATGTTCTACATTGCAGACATGTTTGAAGCATTACACCTAATGTTCCTGTTGAAATGTTCCTGATTTTCCGTTATATTTCTTCTTTAAAGTTGCTGATTTTTACTGAACAAAAATTATTTTATTGAATTGAACTTATTTTTATTGTATTGAACTTATTTTCACTGAACTGAACTTATTTTCACTGAACTGAACTTATTTTTAGCGGTTTTTTATTTTTTTAAGGTGAAGTGAACTAAGTCAGATCTTGTTGGATTTTGTCAGGGAGATGGGCTGTTTTTTGTTTTGCATGTAAGACATTGAGTGAAAGTGGGTTGACATGTTCTCTCCCCTCTTCCTTCTTTATTGTCTTCGCCTTGTTTATGTCCATGCGCAAGCACCTGTCACATTGTCAATGATCTCATCAATAGTTTGCTTCTTTTTGATGTTGAGGAATTACAATTAGATTGCTTGTATTACAGGATGCGCACTCAGGACCTTATGAAGGACAAACATGAGAAGATGATGGTGCCTCTTAATGTTTTGTCAAAACCTAAGAAAGCAGAAAAATCGCAAAAGCCCAATTTGATCCCCAATGATGGTGCCAAATATATGTCTTATGTGAAGGTAAAACTCTGTCATTTCTGCAAATTTCATATGTTATGTTAGATTGTGACTTCATTGTTCTGCTGAACAGGTCTCTTTTATATTTATTTTCTGCCTTATATGGTAAAACATTGCATGCTGTGAGCGTTGGTAACTGTTAAGGCATTTATATAACAGGCTTATGTGATAAACAACATGATCAGGAAACATCTACAAAGGTTAACAACCTGTACATCTTGTGAGCTATAGCCTATAGACTATGTGCTAATAACATGTAAACTCAAATAGCAAATGGCTAGGAGAAAAGTCAAATATTTATTTACTATTGTTTGTGAATTTACAAGAGAATTCTACTTACTATTTGATCCTTCGTAGCATCCATTACAATTGACCCTTTTCTTCATCTTACTTATTTCTCTTTTCTCTACTGAACTGTTGAGTCATGCTTCATATCTTAACAAGTTCTCTCTTCTCTTTGGATAGAATTTGTTCCTCGATGCTTAGTTTTCTTGTTGTTGTTCAAGTCAGGTGTAGGTGTTACCCTTTTGCAACTGCTGTATGATCGTAGCATCATATTCATCTAGGCTCTTAAGATATGTACATGTATTTTATTATCAGGGGGTTGAACAACTGTCATTGTTTGTCTTTCAGATTAGCAAGAAGCAGCATGAACTTGTTAAGAGTATGAGGCAGTCTGGTGCGAGTATTCAATCCAAGGCTCTTAACCGTTTGCTGGGTGGCCTTGATAGTTCCAATGTAAAACCATATGAGATGTTTGTGGAAGAAGAGCAGAAACGAATCCATGAGTACTGGTATGTTGCTGTATTATCTGTCCTACTCTGCTGCTTTATTGTAAAATCAAACCAAATTCCGACAATCTTTCCTATCTAGGTTAAATCTGGCAAATAAAGATCTTCCAACTGCTTTACAAAGCTGGAGAAATAGGCAACTAGAGAAGCGTAAAATCATGGATTCTTTATGGCTAGAAATGAAAGAGAAGCTGGGAGTACAATCTAAGGTTCGTTTCCATTATTTTGCATCTTTATTTGGGGTTTACTTTGGTCTACTCTCCACTGTTTGCTCCTGATTGTTATATTTGTGGTTTTTGGCTTTCACATCTTTTTAACATCTGGCCCATGTATTATCGAATCAGGATGAGAATTTGGTTAATCCTTATGATGAGGATCCTGCTCAAGATGAGGATGGGAAAACTTTTCAAGAGACTTCAGAGGACCACCAACATGATGAGTCAGCGACTCAGGATTCTATGTCAGATGATAACAATGAGGCCTCTAATCCATGCTCTATAAAGAATGGGTCTCCATTGCATAATCCTCCTTCAAATGTCAACGAAGAGTTTGATCCATCCTCTTCCATGGACACTCAATCGTTGCAGAATCCTCCTCTAAACTTTAAAGAAGAGACTGATCCTTCCTCTTCTTTGGAGACTCAATCATTGCGGAAGCCCCCTCTAGATGTTAAAGAAGAGATTGATCCATCTTCTGCGGAGACTAAATCAATGCAGAATCCTCCTATAAATGTTAATGAACATTGTGATCCATCTGCTTCCATGGAGGCTCAATCATTGCAGAATCCTCCTCTAAATGTCAATAAACAGTTTGATCCATCCGTCTCTATGGAGGATAAACCTTTGCAGCGGCATCCTTCAAATGTCAACGAGGACCTTGATCCATCCCGCATGAAGAATCAATCTTTGCTGAATCCCACTTTAAAAGCCAATGAGTGTTTTGGTCCGTCTTCAGTAGAGAATAAATCATCATTGGAAGATTCTCCTTTAAACAACAATGCGGACTATACTCCTATGGATTTGAATGCAGAAAATAATCCTGTTACTTCTGGAACAAATGACACGCGCTCCATGCCTGACCAGCATGTTGCTCAGCCATCTGAAGCACCTTTCACCATATCACACCTTGACACTCATAACAATTCTGCTACTGGTTCAAATCCTGGGGAAATCCCTGGCTCATCACTCAAGAATATGTGGTCTTCAATCGGATTGCCTGAATCTTATCATGCTCATCCAACTACTTTACATGCTAGTTCTGGTGGACTCACTACTTTGCATGCTAGTTCTGGTGGACTCACTACTTTGCATGCTAATTCTAGTGGACTCACTACTTTGCATGCTAGTTCTGGTGGACTCACTACTTTGCATGCTAGTTCTGGTGGACTCTGTCTTAGGCATCCAGAAGTAGTTGCAGGACAGACAGCCCATTTGATTGATCTGGAGTCTGCATTGCCTGAAGATGACACAACAAAGGACCTCTTGAACAGGCATACAAGTCATATGCCTTTCTTCAATCCTTATCAAAATAGGGATAGAAATGAGCTGCTGCATTCTCTAATTAAGCGTGAGAATTTTCATGAGGAGCAAAAAAAGACTGTCTCTGAGTTTCGTCCAACTAATATTGTCATGGAGCCTGCTGTTCAGTTCCCGAGCCATATGCATTTGCCGCCACCATTTGCATTGGATCATCATAGACAGAAAGCACAGAGTGAGCTATATATGCATGAGAACATTCAAAATAGCATTTACTCGGACAACAGTAGGTATGCTATCCCAGCGCCAGAAAATTTTTCATCCCTGAATGTGAGAGACTGGAATAATCCCCGTCTTTCAAACCCAATTCAGCCTCCACCATTGAGTTCTGGTGAATTGTTAAATCATAATTGGTTTCCTACCGAAAACAGAGCTCATGGTGGTTGGTCCACGTCGGATGCTGCTGTTTTTCCAACCCTCCCTACCCCAAGTCTTGGAAGTGTTAGCAGTAGCGACCAGAGCCTCTATAGTGTACTCTCACAGTGCAATATGCGTTCACAGGGTCCATACAACCCTGTGAACTCTACTGAACAAATGATCCCACCGACGAATTACGGACAAGAACTGGCTGGTGTAATACCCATGACAAGCAATACTTTGCCTCAAACAATATCTCCATTTAACTACTTGAGTGGTGGTGAAGCGTCCACTACCTTGAAGAATCCCAGCATGGGGTGGATGAGCTTGGGGAATCAACCTTCATCGATACATGATCCTTCTGGAAAGCCATTCGTGAAATCTTGGAATCAATGAGCAGTCTCTATGGACTGTTGAGGATAGCAACTGAGCCTCCATGAAACTGAAGTATGGAGGAGATGCATAAGTGGAGTTTTGGCCAAATCATGAGGAGAGATAGGATGATAGGCCCGCTGTACATACCTATACAACAGCTGAGACCCACACCATGTATATATAGCTAGTTGTTAGTAGTAGGAATGGGAACATCTAATTCATCCAAGTAAAATATGTTACAACAGGCAATTTCTTGTATTTTTATCCTGATTTTTATCTGTGGGAAATCTGAGTTCCTCATCTTTTTTATGGTTAGAGGTCTGTTCCGGCGTTGAGAGGTATTTTCGAGCCTAGATTTTGTGTACGAAGGTGGATATTGCGCTCCATGCATTTGTTGATCAATTCTGAAGTCTAAATTATGGCTTTTTAGTCACCAAAATAAATTTCTAGCCTCTGCAGCTGAGGTCCGTGATATGGCTTCCTGTTGCTGCGTTTTCTGTCGTTTGTGCCTATTTTTTTTATTACATACTACCGAGTACTAAATTACCGAAGTACTAAATTAAAGGAGCTAGATAATTTTTTTTTTAGGAAAGATAACTTCTTAATTTAAGAACTGTATACCTTGTTTTTTTTTTGAACAAATATACCAAGGCGTCTCATCCAAAACATAATTCTAATCCATTAGGGTATGCCCAGTTTAGCTCCTAATTTCCTTTTCTCATAAAATATTTATTTCAGCTCAGCTTCAATCAGTTCAACTCAATTCAGAAAATGTGAACAGGCCTTATCGCCTTGGTGCACCATTGGTGTCAGCAAGGTGTCAAGAACTCTGCTGCTATATATAAATATATATATATATATATATCAATCAATAACTTATATTAAAGGCGAAATCAGGAATGACACTTGTCATTTCCTGGTTAAAAATTTTCCCGCCTTTTTTTTCCCTTTCCTTTTTAATTTTTTTGGCCATATTTTAATGACATCTATATATTTTATAACCTATAATAATAGTCATTTATATTTTGACAACATATTTAATCCAATCAATAACTTATACTAAAGGCGAAACCAGGAATGACTTGTCATTTCCTGGTTAAAAATTTTCCCGCCTTTTTTTTCCCTTTCCTTTTTAATTTTTTTGGCCATATTTTAATGACATCTATATATTTTATAACCTATAATAATAGTCATTTCTATTTTGACAACATATTTAATCCAATATTACTCAATTAAAATTTTTACATATATTCTATATATACTAGGAAACTTTTTATTACAAAAATACTAACATAGCTTTTAAAAAAATAAGGTATTGGAATATATTGTTTTCCAAGATTATTATAATATTATCAATATCAATTTTAAAGAAAAATCATTTTGGTAGTATACTTTTTACGGAGTATTAATCTTAAAACTATACATAACGTTTATAAGAACAAAATAATTTTGTTATAGTATACTTCGTACATAACATATATTGGAAAATTAAATATAATTGTTCTAATTATCCGCAAACTAAAATATATTTAAAAAGTTGATTACGGAATACTAATTATCCTAAAGTAAAATGAACTCAAATAAATTTTCATATTATGCCGATCAAAGTGTGTCAAAAATTAAAGGACAAATGTATATGAGTTCGTATATGGGTACTAACCTAATTACCTAAGCTAATAATTTAATTTTCTTATACAAACGTTAAATCTTCTAAGTTTCTATTACTATATATTTTTTTATACAATCCAATTCAATAATCTTTACATTTAAATTAAGTTATTTTGTTACAAATAAATTTTTTGGATAAATTATTGTTGAATTAACACCATATTTATTTATTGTAAAATTTAATTATGACCGTGCATTGCACGGGAATAAACCTAGTGTGTGTGTATATATATATATATATATTATTTTTGGATAAATTATTGTTGAAATAACACCATATTTATTTATTGTAAAAAATTAATTATGACCGTGCATTGCACGGGAATTAACCTAGTGTGTGTGTGTGTGTATATATATATACTAGTATTGTGCCCCGTGCGATGCTCGGGTTGTTTTGTTATATTTAAGATAATTTTTTAATCTATGTGTCAAATTTCAAAATATATCACTAATACAAAATTAGTTAGGAATTGATGTGCTTTTTGTAACGATTTAAACTATGTAGTAGACATGTAAATGGCTAAAAAAATATTGGTATTTTGTTTAGAGTTATAATCTTATTTTTTTTTAATAAAATTATAATTCAATTTATACATATAAAATATTGGTATTTTATCTAAAATAAAACTCTCAACTAATAATTTTATTCTAAAATTCTATTCAAATTTGATTGAAAATAGAAATCTAAACTAATTAATTTATCTCATGAAGTCTATCTAAGTATATCCAACGTGGTGCGACACTTGACGAAAAATTGGAATGCCAAGTGTCGTTGTCTTGTGATCTGGCATAAAGTTTAGTTTTATATATACTAGTTTTGTACCCCGGCGATGCTCGGGTTGTTTATTGAATTTTAAGATAAATTTATAGTTCGAGTTAACTCATGACCAGACCTAACAAGCCTATATAGTAATAAAATTCTATTAGATTGTGAAGTATATATATGTTATTTTAACCGATTAGTACATATTATAAATGAATGATTTGCGTTTTGAACTACTTCATTCGTTCCAAAAAATATTATGATACAAAAAAATAAATTTATATGATAATTTTTTAGAATTATAATCTAATAATTTTTTTTGAATAAAATTATAATTCAATTTGTACGTCTGAAATATTGGTATTTTATCGAAAACAAAACTCTAACAGAGCTTTTTTGGTGCGGCAGGCCACACCGTGCGGCCTGCTGCCAAGTCAGTAAAAATAACGGATTCTGACGCGCATATAACGGGGTTACTATTCACGCGCATAACGGGGTTACTGGTTTTGTCAGGATTACTTGTTTTTTTTAGGGGTAACTTGTATTTTTTTTTTCAGGAGTTACTTGTATCTTTTTTTTTTTCAGGGGTTACTTATATTTTTTTTAGGAGTTATTTGTATTTTTTTTAAGGGGTTACTTGTATTTTTTTTAGGAGTTGTATTTTTTTTAAGGGGTTACTTGTATGGATTACTTATTCAATGGTTACTTGTATTTTCAGGGGTTACTCTCTCTCTCTCTCTTTTTTTTTATTTTTTTTATTTTTTTTTATTTTTATTTTTTGTAGTTACTTGTATTTTTTTTTTCAGGGGTTACTTGTATGGATTACTTATTCAAAGGTTACTTGTATTTTCAGGTGTTACTTGTATTTTTTTTTCAGGGGTTACTTGTATGGATTACTTATTCAAAGGTTACTTGTATTTTAAGGTGTTACTTGTATTTTTTTTTTCAAGGGTTACTTTTCTAATTTTTTTTTTTTTTTTTTTTTTTTTTTTTTCAGGGGTTACTTGTATGAGTTAATTCAAGGGTTACTTGTATGAGTTAATTATTCAAGGGTTACTTATTTGAGTTACTTCAAATGTTACTTGTATGAATTACTTATTCAATGGTGACTTGTTACTTATTCAAGGGTTGTTTATAGGGCCCATACCAAACCAGTAATACCCTACAAGTAACCCTTGACCAAAATCAGTAACACCCTACAAGTAACCCCTGACCAAACCAGTAACACCCTACAAGTAATCCCTGACCAAAACTAGTAACACCCTACAAGTGACCCCTGACCAAAATTAGTAACACCCTACAAGTGACCCTTGGACCAAACCAGTAACACCCTACAAGTAACCCTTAACCAAAACCAGTTACATTCTACAAGTAACCCCTGACCAAACCAGTAACACCCTACAAGTAACTTAACCCTTGACCAAAACCAGTAACACCCTACAAGTTTAAAAAAAAAACTTTAGTAGGCATGTAATGACTAATAATAATATTGGTGAAAATGTTTCGATTAAATAGAAAAAAAATTAGCAAAAAATAAATGAAAAAATAAAATTGTTCAGATCCTGTTGGGTTGACCGGCCAGAATTTTGGACAAGGGTTGAAACATTTATTGGCTCGTAACCAGAAGTGACCCGATTCGATGACTTATGACTCAACCCTGATTGATAGGTCTACGTAGTAATAAAATTATATTAGATTGTGATATATATTATTGGAAAATTTGTCAGAAAAAACCTTTTAAATGCCTCTTAAATGTCAGAAAAAACCTTTTAAAAAACCATTTCAAAAATTTTTTTTAAAAAAATTTTAAAAAAAAATTTTAAAAAAACTTTGTATCAATGTATATTTTAAAATTTTACAAAGATTAAAAATTTTCTTAAAATTTAATAAACAATCCCGGCATCGCACGGGGCACAAAACTAATTAATGTACATAAAGTTAGGTTAAACTTGAGCGTATGTATGGTTATTAATTGAGAAGTAATTTATTGTTTTTTCCTTGAAAGAAATTTCAAATAAATATTGACAATTTTTTGATTATTAAGAATTTTTATTTCCGATATGTTTGATAACTGAAATAAACACTAAGGGCCTGTTCTGATTTACTGAACTGATCTGAAATTATTGGAGCTGAACTGAACTGAATTGAATATTTTATGAGAGAAGGAAATTAAAAACTGAAATAAACCGAACTGAAAATAATCTGAAGGGAATAGGCCCTAATACTACCATATATACTACGAGTCTAAGAGTACTTGACTGATCAAGTGAGTACATCATTCGTATGGTTTGTCTATCTTATATATGTACTATCATATAACTAATATATAAAGCTAAACTTTTAGCCAGGTCACGATGCAGCGACACTTGGCGTTCCAATTTTCCGCCAAGTGTCGTCCCACGTTGGATAGATTTAAATAGATTTCATAAGATAGAATTTTAGGATAAAATTGTTGGTTTAGAGTTTCACAAATTTTTATATGTGGCTAGCCACACGGTGTGGCCAGCCACAATTTTTATTTTTTATTTGTATTTTTAAATACTACAACTCTTCTCTCTCCTTTTTTCTTAGCTTCTTCTCCAAGCTAAATCACACATCACCAACAACCATATCTCTACTCCACCCATTTTCTCTCTCCTCTTTTCTTAGCTTTTTCTTCAAGTCAAACCACACATCACCAACAACCATATATCTACTCTACCCATTTTCTCTGTCCTCTTTGCTAAATTGCTGCAATTTAAAGCCCGAAATTGTAGAAATTGGGTGTCAAATTGTTGTAAAAAATTGTGATTAATTATCCTTAAGATCATCAACAACATTTGAACTAGTGAAATCGATGAGAACCAAAGAAATTTGAGCTCGTTTTCTTCGTGGAATCTTAGATCGAACATTCTACGTCAAAAATTATAGGGTGTTACTAGTTTGGTCAGGGGTTACTTGTAGGGTGTTACAGATTTGGTCAGGGTTTACATGTAGGGTGTTACTGGTTTGGTCAGGGGTTACTTGTAGGGTGTTACTGGTTTTGATCAGGGGTTACTTGTAGGGTGTTACTGGTTTTGGTCAA